GCTGAAATTTGCCTCCGTGTAAAACTGGAGACAAATTTCCTAACTCTTGTATTTTTCATTTCAAACTTTAACTTTATTGGGTATACCTGATGGGTTTAATTATTTCAGGAAATCGAGAGTTTTTGATGCAATTTAATTTCTGCCTTTAAAAAACATGACTTTGCGCAAAAGAATAAAAAGTGTTGTAGAACGTTATTGTTCTCTTTCGCTGTGACAACATTTTAACTTGCACTTTGAAAAATTTAAAAATCACAGAACCTTTTCATGTCTTAGATTGCATAATTATCGTTAAATTTTCCTGTTGAGAGATGAATGAAGCTTTTCTTTTGCAGTTCAGTGCCCCAGCTCAGTACTCCGCTAACAGACACGAGAAGACCACGTGATGGTAACGTCACTATGTTCTAGCATGGGCGACTAACAGAATGCAATTCATACTGTTGGTTTTTCTTCTCTTGGTATGTTAATTATTAAAACAAAAAGGTTTATGTTCTGGGTATCAATATGTTTTGGAACCGACGCAGAGTCATTTTTGCTCGATCCGTTGGGCAAGGATTAAAATGACTGGCGCTCCTAAACATAATTATACCCAAGAACGTAGCGCTATTATTATCCCTTCAGAGGGAGTTGAAAAAAAAAGAATGAAAAAAAAAATATTTGACAACCAAACAGTCTGAACAACCACGCGAGCTTATGAGCGGGGGAAAGCACGTTTACCTCGCACAATTCGCTACAATGCCCAGTAAAATGATGATAATTAAGATTTAAATTTCTTTGGGCGCGAAATTCTAAACCAGATAGACTAAAACATTCCCGTACAGTCCTCACATCGGAAGAAACTCCTCTCAATAGATACGAAGGGAACATGGTAACGCCAAAAACTCGGGTCGATAAAAATGCTGGTAATCTAACGACTTAGTGTACGAGGGAACCTGGGCCGGAGGCTTTAGGAATGGATATGAAGTGTACACTTATGCAAACGGGACAGATGTAAAAGGCTGTTAAAAAATGATCGGAAACATGAACAAGGAGACTGTGTCCACAAGGATAAAGCGATTTGATACAGGGTTTATTTTTATGTGAATTAGACTGGTTTTTGTGAAACTCAAAAAGCTGCAAAATACTTTGATTCAAATTAAGCAGGATCACGTGCACTAAACAATAATAAGAAATGTTATAATACGCCGGTAAACTTCAAAAATACAAACGAAATATTAAACTATGAGCAATCCCTTTTTTCCTCAAACTCCGTCGCACGAGATAAAAAATGTACCGTAGACATGAAGAGTTCTTGAAATAACTTTGACTCGAATCACAAACTAAATTACAAGGCAGGTCAAGCATTTTTGCGTCAAAAAAAGGTTTAAAACTTTAGTGATGAATTATATTTGAAAAAGACTAGACAGCTTTAGTTCCACTTATAAAATAATTCGCATTCCAAAAACTAATCAGAGAGTCTGGCGGATAGTACGAGAATCAACCAGACGACATCAACTGCTTTACTGGGGAAGAACTTTATATACAAGGCTGCCTTGACAATTTTAATGTATATGTTTGGGGCGATTAAGCCCATATTGAACGTGAAGGCAAAAGCCATTGTAGCTTGCACCGATGCGGAAACTACACACTATTCCTGGCTCAAATTCCACGTTCCCGTGTACTAAGTCGTCATCCAGAACGGTGTGTCAACGGTTGCCATGAAAACATCAGTAAGTGTAAGATTTTGAATGAAAATGTTCATGACGGTTTGCATCTCGGAGTATCAGTTACCAACATAAAGGCAGATCAGAATGGTTAAGGTTACCTCCAAAGAAATTTCCGCTCTCGAGCGACAAAGAGGATCTTGGGAATTTTTTTGAGAAATTCGAGTTGTAGTAAACATGGAAATAAAACCAAACAAAATTTAACATTCAAAATCAAAATGTCGATCAAAAGTCTGACAGAAGTTTAATGCACTGGTATGAGGATGATTATATTCTAACTCCCTTTCTAAACGTCTTATTCCCAGACTCATTTAATCACATTTCTTCCTTTTAAAGCCTTTCTAATTTAAGCACCGGATAATTGAGTTCCTTGGCTTGTGAGGTACAAACGTCGACCTCTAAGTTGGGTAAATAAAACTCGAGAAGATGTTTATTCGTGGGACTGAGCCATTACCCAGGAGGGCTCGCCATTTGTTCGCCCTTACGTCCCTTAGTAAACCCTTCCTGGTACAATACCAGGAGTGATAGTGTTTATGGATTTTCTACATATTGTTCTTGTAAGGGATCTTTGATAAACATGGTGCGAAGTCGACGCTTTTAAAGAATGCTCAGAAATTGCAAAGTTTTCTTTTTAACTTTCACTGTTTCAAGTTCACGGACACCGTAATCTTGTATCAAATTTAGCGAAGGGAATGATTGCTAAGATTTCCGACTTTAGTATGGATTTAGTGGATTCGAAACTCGAGCCATTATCAGTGATTTATTTCAAGTTCGAAGTTTGTTCTCTCAGGATAGTGGTTACATCGATATCTCCTTTGTTGCCCCCGAATCAAATAAATCACTTTAATTAAATTACAATGGAGGTCTGACAGTACGAGGAAGCAACTCCTTTACTGGGGGAGAACTTGATATACAACTGCAAGGCTGCCTTGACGATTTTAATGTGTCCGTTTAGGGTAATTGAACCCATATCTAACATGAAGGCAAAAACTATTGTAGCTTACACCGATGCGGAAACTACACACCACTCCTGGCTCAAATCCCATGTTCCCGTGTACAAGCTCGTTATCCAGTACGGTGTGCTAAGGGTCGTCATGAGGATATCAGTCAGTGCAGGATAATTGAGAATGAAATGTTGGTGAGGGTTTGCATCCCTGAGTGTCAATTAACAACAAAAAGAACCAGCACATCACTAAATATGGAAGTAAGGTAAATCAGAATTATATATACAATGATATTTTCATTCCTTTAAGGCGCAAAATAGTTCAAGGTCCGGCTAAACAGTTCAAGGTTTCAGTGCGAGGTTTAACCATGTTTGTTTTTTATTTCGGCGTAGAATCGCTCGAGCAATGTGCTAACCTGGGTCGGCTCGTAATTTTTGATTTCCTCGGCAATTCACACTACATTTTCTAAACCGACAACCAAAAAGCACTGCTTTTTACATTGTTTTCATTGTTAGAGCTGTTTTTCAGCTGCTATGTTATTGTTGCGGTGGCGAAAGAAAACCTACTTAACATGCCGGCCATTATTGCGCTTGCAAACTCTCAGCGTACCCAAATGTCGCGACATCCAAGGTTCGCATTTGATTGGCTATCTGTGAGTTTCTTTGATTAGTGACCGAACAGAATGTCTGGTTTTTTACTTCTTTGCACTGAATAAACCCTCTTCTGCATTGAATTACCTGAAAACTGCATTTATCTTAACCAATCAGAACTGAGTAATTTTTTCATGTTTTCTTATTATTAACATTAAAATTAAATTTGTATTGTTCTTCTGCGCAAGAAGCGGAAAGCCGGCAAAGGAGGAAACCTCGATGTTTACCGTTCGTCTGAGCCACCCTCGTATCTATATTGTTCTCTCGAGATAGCGGTTACATCGATATCTCCTCAGTTGCCCCAGAATCAAATAAATTACTTTAATAAAAGACTTACAGAATCATTTCCTATCTGTCGGTAGACAACTGAACTGTCTATTTAAAGTGAAAAAGCTTTTAAGAGTTTTTAACCGGAAATTTATTATTCTAAATGACCGGTGGTAATTAACCTTGTTGATTATTTCATTGAGCGATCAGGGTATGTTCCTTCGCTTTGGTTGATTGTTTTGATAACTCTGGTTTTGGTTTGACGACACCCCACTTCATTTTATCTTTGCCAATGGATACATTTTACCCTGTATCAAATAAACAGTTGATAGCACACGAAGAAAACCCTATCGTTCATTTAAGCTTACTTAAATTAATTCATTGCTTTCTAAGCGGCACTCTGTTTCGAGGGTCTAAATGGGCTGATATGGCTTTTACGGCTAATGGTTGAAATTTTTAGTCATTTTAGGGCAAAACTAATATCATTCCACTTTAATTATGACTACAATATCCAAAATGTTCTGCGTCATTTCCCTTCCATCATGTCTTTTGTTACATGTACGTCAAAGCATTTTCACTGCAAACAGACAACTAATGTACCGACGAAGGGGCATGGTTCCGCAAGTTTTTGATATAAAGTGATTTATTTGATCGGGAAAACAAAGGAGTTCTAATCACGATTAAAGAGGAACATAGACTTGACATAGGTGGCTCTAACAAACTTCAAAAGCTGAGAATGACGTTATTTCCCTCTGCAGTTTTCAGATGTTTGTACAGTAAAGGGTAAAGATTGTCCTTTGCTGAGAAAACGAAAGCTGTTCTCCCTTTTTACTTTTCGTTTTTTTTTTTTCAGCTTCTACCTTGACTACTCATACAAAAGAATAAATAACAAAGGATTATGAGGAAAACGAATTTAAAGATAATTAGTGATAATGGCTCTCTTGAATTCAATAAACCGTATTTAAGTCGGCTGCAATCATTCCCTTTCGCTGAAAGAGCTTGATGGTTTCAGCATCCTTGAAAATAAAGCCAGCGGCAGGTAAAAAGATCTTAGCCAGGTTTTTAGACTGTGTTTTCGGAGGTTCAAGGAATTGAAAATCGTGAGTATTATCTGAGCTTTCTCTGAAGCGATATTTTTGCATTATGTTTATTGAAGATACCTGAAGGAAGACTGTGGAGAAAATAATTTACATTAATCGTGAAATTATAAAGGTCCATCGAGGAAAGTGAAGCCGATGCACTGCGAGCCCTGCGTAATGTTTGCTTAGTTTCAACAAGAAACACGAGAAAAAGATGATTGCAGAGTTTAATTTGCCCAAAGCCTAAGGTTGTACATTGAAAGTTCTCTGAAGGATCCACGTAATAGCCTTTCTTCCCGAAATTGAGATTGTTCTTGATTTTTTTGTTCAGTTTTAATGCAGTTTGGATTACAGACGAGAATGTCTCATACGATGTCCCAAGATCCCCTTAATCGCTTGCGAGCAGAAATTGTTTTGGAAGTAACTTTCGCCATTCTGGTTTGCCTTGCTTCCGTAATTGGTAATGTGCTGGTTGTTTATGTCGTAAATAAATACTCTGAGATGCAAACCATCACCAACATTCTTATTCACAATCTTGCACTGACTGATATTATCATGGCGACCCTTAACATGCCGTTCTGGATAACGAGCTTATACTCGGGAAAGTGGATTCTGAGCCAGGAATGGTGTGAAGTTTCTGCAACAGTACAACATACTATGGGTTTGGCCACCTCGCTCATCATGGGCTTAATTGCCCTGAACAGATACATGAAAGTCGTCAAGCGAACCATTTATATCAAGTTCTTCCCAAGTAAAAGAGCAGCTTGGTTGTACTGTGGTCTCGTCTGGCTGGTTTCTGTGCTATTCGCCACACCTCCATTGTATGGATGGGGAAAAATGAACTTTGACTCAGACTTTTTACTTTGCATATTCAACTGGAAGGATGGACACTTTTCTTTTGTCATATTGCTTGGAGGGTTCTTCGACGTGACAATGGTTGCTATATTTTACTCCTATTGGAAAATTTACCAAACAGTGAAAGAAAGCACAGATAATGTCAATGCCAATGTTCTTCAAAATGGCGTCGGCGCAACGAGATTCCACCGTACTGACATCGATGTTTTAAAGAGTTGTTTTACAGTGGTTTGTTTCTTTTTAATTACATGGTTTCCTATAGCCGTATGCACTTTTACAATAACTAGTGGTGGCTACTTACCACATGAGGTGCGTAAGGTATCTGTGTATTTGTTTTTCGCCAGTAGTCTTGTAAACCCAATCATCTATGGGATAATGAATCCGCAGTTTAAAGAGGCCTTCAAAAAGGCATTTAGTTGTGGTCGTTATGGCAGCGATAATACAGATCAAAGTCATGCAAGAGTTGCAGCAGTAATAATACATCCGAGGAGCAATGAAACTTGATGACGTTTGTCCTGAATATCTATCATTTAATGATAGATCGTGATGGCACGTTAAAAAGTTTTGCGTTTCATCATGGAAGTTTCGGGTTATATTAGTGTTCGTTGGAAAATTAAGTCATTCTAGGTCGGTTTGTCCTGTTTGAACATTTGGTTTTTTGTATGTAATGTAATTTTCATTTTCCATCTCCCTATAAAATACCATTACAATCATGATTTTTTCTTTGTGATTAATAGTGTAACCAGGTTAGTCCACTCTTTCCTAGGGGTATATAAAGGAACAAAAAAAAGTGCTAAAGAGTATTCTTTTTTTTTCTTTCTCGGTGATCACTGTTTTATTTGCAGTTAGAGCGCACAATATCTGTTAAATTTTCCTGTTTAGAGATGAAGAAAGCTTTCTTTTGTTGCTAAGGGCCCCAGAGCACAGTACTCCACCAGTGAACACGACAAGACCTTGCAATAAATATGACGAAAAATATTGTCCTCCCTCCCAGTTGAAAGTATAAACAAAGGCATCTGAATAGAATTTATACAAGGCTGTTATACAAGGCTGTATTGACGATTTTAATTAATCTTTTTTTAGGCAATTAAGCCTATATTGAACATGAAAGCAAAAAACCAATATATCATTGCACTGATGTGGAAATTTCATACCATTCCTGGCTCAATTTCCACGTTCAAGTGTATAAACTCGTTATCCAGAACGGTGCGTTAAGGGTCGCCATGAGGAAATCAGTCAGTGCAAGGTTGTGAATGAAAATATTGGTGATGGTTTGCATCTCGGAGTATCTATTGACAATGTAAAGAACCAGCACATAACCAAGTATGAAAGCGAGGCAGATCAGAATGGCGAAGGTTGTCTCCAAAGAAATTTCCGCTCTCGAGCGACTTAGAGGATCTTGGAAATTTTTTGAGACATTCTCGTCTGTCATTTGAGTTGCAATAAGCATAAAGATAAATGCAAACAAAAATTTGAAATTCAAAAGCAAAATCTCTCAGAAGTCTGATGCACTGGTATGAGGATGATAAAATTCTAACTACTCCTTTAAACTTCTTCCCAGAGACCAATTCAATCGTATTTCTTGTTTTAAAGCTTTCCCGGGATCCTTGGGTTGCAAGGTACAAACGTCGACCTCTAAGTCGGATGAATAAAACTCGATAAGATTTTTATTCTTGGAACTGAGCTATTATCTATTACCTATTATTAAATGTGACGAGCAACTTCCTCGGGAGGGTCCCATTGATGAGTCATCAACTTCCTGTTTATTTAATGACGTCAATGCGTGGGTAGTTCGTCAAATTCTAAGAAATGAATTTCACCAAATAATTATCATAATATGGTAAGTAGAATAGTGGTTAGCGAGTTTGAGCACGATTTGTGAAATTGGGCTCGAACCGCCAACTACTACACCACTAACGAAAATGTCATTTCGACATTGAATCTTAAATGAAATGCGTTAGAACGGCTTTTACGCATGCTGTAAAATACAAAGTGGACAAGTTCGCGAGCAATTTAGAAAAGTATAATAAAGTTATTAATTGACGATCATTTTTTTCATTTTCTCATGAATACAGTTGGACTTATACGGTACTTAGCAAGAGGTACAGTGTTTTGCAATTCACAGAATATTCATTCTTGCGAAGTCACAAACATTTGTGTCCGCGTGGTAAATAAAACACCCTCTTTAGTACAATAACAATTATGCACGCTCTGTTTTCATTGTCGCCAATAAACTTATTTCTTTCCGATTGTAATCCGGATCGCTAAAGTAAAATAAAATGAAGCTGGCTTAGTGTTTATTTTCCTTTCAGTTGAAAGTCAAAAGCTTGAATCTGATTGGCGCCATTGACATCTCCTTTGTTCACGTTGACATAGAAAAACCATCGATGGGTGTATACGGATTTTTAACTAAACTTCCATTTCTCAGTAAAACTGCGGCAAGGTTCAACATCAGACTCAACATCTTAATGGGAATAAGGTGGCACGTTCTCTGAGCCTCTAAAACTCGAAGTAATTCTCCGGAAATGATCAAGCAATTTTACAAACAGTTTTTAAAAGGAAGTACACAATACTTCTTGCTCTAATCAAGATTTTCGTAAGTACCAGTTTATAGGCAATTCGCCTCGTCACTGGTACATGTTCTTGTGCATAGCAAATGGGGTTTTTTTCTATTTCTGCGATTGTCGGAAAAACGGTAATTTCGATTTACTCGTAATCCAAAGCTCTTTTTTACAGCTTAGCTCAGTCTGATTTTGGAGTTGGTATGGCCGCTCAACCGTTACAAGCTGCCACAACTTGTAAAAAACCGTTTCCATTAGTAACAGTACGGAAAATTGCAAATTGCAATTACAATTTTTCTTTCACGAACATTCTTTCAGGATTTCCAGAAGCATTAATTTTATGTCCTTAGGCAACTGACGTTTTGGTAAAAATTGCAGTCGAAAAGAGAAAGAAAATCCATCATGTCGACCGATTCAGCCCAGACCGTGATCACTGTGGTGTTTTCTGTGCTGATAATAACAGATATCGTGGGGAACACTCGGGTTTGTGTCGTTATAATTAAAAACCAAGGCATGAGGTGAGACATTATGAAGAAGTTTGAGCTTCTTCTCACTTCTTTCGGACTTACCGCAATATTCATTGACATGCGTTTCTCTGCGATCAATCGAACTTCCTGAAGACCAAGCTGTGTTTCATTACCTTTAGTAGATCCAGTTACATGTGTTTTACAACATCGAAGCAGCGACCGAGAAAGGAAAAAACACTTCAAAAAAACTTCTGTCTGTGTACTATTAATAACCCAAAAATATATTTACTTTCGAGTTAACCATAAAAGCCGTCTTCTCGGCTTTTTTGTTTCATTTCTTTATTGCTATCAAGTCTCGAAGTAAGGACTCACTGATAGAGAAAGCGGTGATATCCAATATACGTTTATCTTGAGTGTAAATCACCCCTGAAGGATTGAATATATATATCAGTATTGTAAAAGAGGCATTAGTTCTACGCACTGTTAAAACCGATTGTAAAACAGTTTTTATATCTGTGTGAAAAGATGGAAGATATGTTACGTTCCGTTGTTTTATTTTGGGATTTGAAATTATAATTTGCGACGTGAAATTAAGATACAGAGGGCAACTTGAAACTTTGAAGCAAAACAAAGAAGTCATTTTTATTTCTAGGACACCAATAAACTTTTTGCTGGTCAATTTGGCTTTTGCTGATATCATGGTAGCGCTGTTTATAGCGCCACAGTTCGTTCTGATCCACACTTTCCAGCATCCTAACGGAGTTATAGGAACATTCCTATGCAAATTCTTGACCGGGGGAAACTTGATGTAGACACGAGCAGCTGCATCTGCGTTTAGTCTGGTCGCTATTGCATTTGAGCGTTACTTCGCTATTATGCACCCTGACGATAACACAGGGAAACCGACACATGGGAAACTTAAGGTGAATATGCTGTTTTATTTTTGAGAAAACCTAAACTAAGACCGATTCATTTGCTGCACCAAGATAAAACCATCAGCTTTTAGAGTTCTGTTTTGGAAAGGGAGGCAAATTCAAATCCGTTTACTTTGTTTTTTCATGTCAAATGCTCAAATAAAACAAACAAAGAGCCAAGCCACTCAAAAAGGCGTGGGAAAAACTAAACTTGATTTTCGCTTTCACTCTCGCAGCTAATGACGTAACGTATGACAATAAAGAACTTTGCACGTAGTCATAGAGGTCGTCGGACTCCGTTTGATCTTTGATTTGTCTGATTAGTGGCTCAAAATCAATCAATTAGCGCCATAATTATTCAGCGCGATGTTTCTTACGCTAAAAAAGTGATAGTTGGTATTCCCAAATTGTGCCTCTGTTGTTGTGAAAACCAGGAGCAGATCCAAGAATATTTTAAAGGGAGGTGGCCCACTTCCCTTTAAAATATGGATCTCAGAAATCCAAGGTTTATTTCCGAAAAAAGCAGAATTTCTTTTCTCGTCAAAGCCTAAATAAGGTAAGAAATATTTCAAGACAAGTAAATTTTTAGTAAATCTTATTAAGAGGTAGCATACCACCTGTCGTTGCAAGAGTTTTGGTGTCCGACAATTAATAAAAACTACCAGGAAAAAATGAATTTTGATCCACGTCATTATTTACATCTCCAAGAATGTCTTGAGATGCTATGTTTAAAATAACTGATATACAATTGGAACTGATCACTGACATTGACATGTTTCAATTCATCGAAAAAGGAATGCCTAGCGGTATCTCATATATTTTTTTGACAGATTTGGAAAAGCAAACAATAAACACATGAAACACTTCGATGAGAGGGCACCGTCAAAGCATGTCATGTATTTGGACGTTAATAATCTCTATGGTTGAGCTGTGAGTCAGTATCTTCCAACCGGTAGTTTCAAATGGTTAAACATAAGCATGCGACCGGTTAAAAAAACTAGTTCCAACATTGTCTGGAAAACAAAAATATGTACTTCATTACAGGAACCTTCGACTGTATCTTAATCTTGGATTAAAGCTGAAGAGGGTTCACAGAGTATTACAATTCAAACAGTACATTTATTTCAACACACAAAAAAGAACTGTTGCTAAAATCATTTTAAAAAAGACTTTGTCAAGTTCATGAATAACAGTGTGTTCGGTAAGACAATGGAAAACATCAGAAAAAGAGTCGACGTCAAACTTGTGACTGACGCAAAAAAACATTGGAATGTAGTTCAAAACCAACATTTGTAAGCAGTAAAATCTTTAACGATAATCTCGTAGCTTTTCACAAGATCAAAGAATCAATTACCCTGATATCGCCAGCATGTGTAATGTTATAATAAGCTGCGTTACATTGTAAAACTTAGCAGTATGTGTGTCCTCGAGGAACCCGCTTCCGCAAGTTCAACTGCTTAAATACATCCATTAAGACGGAATCAATAGCTACGCATTCGGATATCAGAAGTATTAAAATTCATGCCAACAAAAGATTTTCCTCTTGACTATCTAGCGGTATC